GATCATGTTATGATCTCCTTACCAACTTCATATATGTGCAATCTTAATGTCATCTCATCAATTCAAGTTCAGTGTGCCTTCTAAATTATTCTAGCCCGATTACTGGAACTGCCTAAAATGAAGCAATGGAGTGGCTCCTTCAGTTAAATGTTTTAGCAGACTGTAGGTTTCTATGTGGACAGTAGGTGGTGCTGCCTCCCAGGATAGAACATGATTAAGGATTGGAAGCTGCTGCCAGTGCCCTGTTCTCATTCATTCATTCTCTCTCTCTCTCTCTCTCTCTCTCTCTCTCTCTCTTTTCTATATGAATATATGTATGTTCACATTGTGCTTACTTCCACAGAGGTCAGAGAGGGTATCAGATTCTCTGTAACTTCGGTTCCAGGAAATTTAGAGTTATGTGGATGCTAGGAACAAAACCTGGGTGATGCCTTAAAACAATCCCACAGAAGTTCAGAATTAGGATAATAAAAGGGTTGTTTATTTAAGGGGAAAACTTACAGATCATTATCCTAAACAACAGTCCTGAGCGCAAACAGGAACAGAGTCTAGCAGCTGGAATGGGAGCCATAACCCAGAGAGCAGGTCCACATTTCTGGCTACTTTTTAAAGTATAAGATACCATGTCCCAGTGGGCTGGTATTCATAAAACAAATTCTGCTCTCTAGATACTTCTTAGTGAATAGTTATTTTTTCTTCTGTCAGCATTCAAACATCCAGGGCCTCCAGAATTTTTGGTGATGTGTAATTTTTCTGCAAAGATAAGAGCAGAGCCCTGCCCCAACCTTATATTGCTTTCCTGCCACCTTTATGGTTGTCACCATTGTGGATGAGCTGTCATTTTTCTGTTTCAATAGGTTTATCCTTTTCAAAATGAATCTTTATTAATTTTGATGGTATTAATAATTTTTCTTCTCCTGTGGAGACAAGAGCAAAACCCTTCTCCAATGTAGCTCATCTTCTGGTTGCCATTGTGAGGTCAACACATCCTTGAAATATACTTGTTGATTCAATTCAAAAGTTCTTTCCATTATCCAATGCCTCTCTGCTGTTGTTTGATGTAGGAGAATCATCTGTCTACGTGTTACTTTCATTGGTTAATAAAGAAACTGCCTTGGCCTTTTAATAGGACGGAAAATTACGTGGGTCTCCTGGTGGGAGGCAAACAGTAGGGTGTTGGGGACTTGAAGCCAATCCGAGGTATGTAAAGAGAAAATATAAAGAACTGCAGCTGATCCCTAGCAAGAAAGGCAGCCATGCGAGATTCTATATTGAACTGCCGGCTTCACACACAGGCCACAGCCTGGCTGCTGGTGGGCAGCAGAGACAGGGGATTCTAAAACCAAATGTTAGGTGCCAATTGATACCATAAATCAATCCCACACCACTTCAGAATTAGGATAATAAAAGGGTTACTTATTTAAGGGGAAAACTTACAGATCACCATCCTAAACAACTGTCCTCTGAGCACAAAGAGAAACAGAGTCTAGCAGCCTACTGGGAGCTGGAAGCAAGAGAGTGGGCACCTATTTCCTGCTGCTTTTTAAAGTATCAGAGACCACGCCCCAGTGTGGTGGTATCTTAAAGGCTATTGGCTGAAGGAGCAGAATGTATTCCCACAGCACCTGGATCCTCTGCAAGAACAACAAGGGCTTTTATGCTGAGCCATTTCTCCCAGGCCATTTCTTTTGGGAATTATGGCTGAGACTAGAGAGATGGCTCAGCGAATAAAAACGCTTGACACACAAGTTGGATGACCTCAGCTCCATCCCTACAATGCATTTAAAGGGCTGGCTGTGGTGGTGCATAACTACAAGGCCAGCACTTCCAGGCAGAGCAGGAGGCAGACAGGAGAATGGGTCAGAAACCGTCAGGGTAGCTAGCCTGGACTACTCTGTACAGCAGAAACAAGACAGGCCCAGCCTCAACAAGGAAGAAAGTGGAAAGAGACTCCTGAAGTTTTGTCCTCAGATCCCCTATGTTTTATGTGCTATGGTGTAGTCAGTACAGAGAGAGAGAGAGAGAGAGAGAGAGAGAGAGAGAGAGAGAGAGAGAAGGAGAGAGAGCGCTCTGAAATATATAGATGGGGAGAGAAAAAGTGGCTGTAGGATAAAACTGTGATGGTTTTTGTTTAAGTGCATAGTACAAGGGCAAAGGAGGTAGAGGCAGGGGGACCAAGGAGGCACATGTGTGGCTGTGAGAAATCCTCCATGCTCTACAGCTGTGTCCTTTGATGAACACCATCCTCTACCAGGATGCGAATATCAGCTAGAGAGAACTGCCAGTCAACATGGTACAGAGGGCACTTAAGGACATCATAGAAAATGTTCTAGGCTCTAGGTTTGAGCATAAGAATTCCAGAAAAACAAGACAGCTCTTGGGACTCAGGAGATGTGGGGAGCTCTTGGCAGGTGCCCCTTAATTTTATCCAATAACCTGGAGGAAACAGCCTCAAACTCTCAGCAGTGATCTCAAGTAGAGCAGACTATAAGAAACTGGGGACTATAAGAGACTGGGGAGGATTTGGAGGTGCTAGCCCAGTGCCCAGAGGGTGTCCAAGAGTGGAAAGATGAGGTAAAAGGGGGAGGGGGAGAGGAAGGTGGGTACGGTGGAAGTTGACCTTGAACCTCTGGATTGGCAAGGGAGGGGGTTGACAGGAAAGGAGAGAAATGTGAAGAATTTTGCTCCACAGGAGGGAGTTGGGTAGTGCAGGCTTGAGGGAGTGGAGGGAGAAGCCAGTACCCCTGGCTGCACGTTCCAGCTGGAATTGTTTGGGTCCCAGTTCCCAGATGACCAGAAATTTGGAGGTATTGCGGCCTTAGCTACTAAGACCAGTGGTGTGAGACACTGTCTACTAAGGGAAGGGTGGGAGCGCAGAGCCCAAAAACCAAGGACAGATGTAAGCTCTGCCCATTTGGTCTTATGGCAACAAAAATTTTCTAGGTCCCGGAGGACAGTAAGCTCAAGGCTTCCTTCTGGTGGCCAACACATCCCATTTTCAAGATAGTATTGAGGCCAAATCTTAGAGTATAGGGAAATTAGCAGCTCAGGACAGACTGTATCAGACAGTTCCAATTTATAAAGATTTTGTAAGAGGCATCCCAGGGGTGACAGCAGATCTGGCTTTGAACTGCAAGTGCCTATTTTAAAGTCTATGCCCAATCGTGTGGCCTTGTTGGACTCTAGCGTCCAAACACTGAGGAGGAGTCGCCCCTAGAGACCACCTCACACACCACAGCCAATGCAAAAGCATGAGGATATTTATTAATTCTGTCATGACAGGGTCCCTCAACATTCGGGAAGCCGAGAGATCTCGAATAGCTGGGACAGGCTACTTTTAAAGGAGAAGGCCACAGAAGCAAGGGGGGGTTGTTCTTTGACTATTATGATTGGCTTATTCAAAAGGACTATTACCAGCCGGGTGGTGGTGGCGCACGCCTTTAATCCCAGCACTCGGGAGGCAGAGGCAGGCGGATCTCTGTGAGTTCGACACCAGCCTGGTCTACAAGAGCTAGTGCCAGGACAGGCTCCAAAGCCACAGAGAAACCCTGTCTCAAAAAACCAAAAAAAAAAAAAAAAGGACTATTACCAATAATTGGCTGGAGAGCTGTTGCCAGATCAGATGAGGTAAGAGGTCATTTTGACCCCGTTTCCCAGGGGACTGAATCAAAACATACATATATGGGTAATTGTTCAGGAACTGAGTACATGCATGTGTAGCTGTTAGGTCCTTGGTTCCCAGGGGAGGAGGGGAAGCACTATGGCACAGAGGCTGAGAGGATTCAGAATTGTCAGAAATGGCTTCAGGATTGTCTTAAAGTCTTACAGCCTAAGTCTATTACAGCGTGTCCGCAAAAATAGCTCTTAGGCCTTACCGGGCCATGGAAATTGAATGCTAGGTGTCCCTAGAGCAAAAAAAGTCCATCTCAGCTAGACCCAGTCTTGCTGGTCTAGGTGCTGAGGTTGGAACTCTTGGCACGGGCCTGTGGCTTCCATAAGAGTCCGATAATCAACAAAAGTAAGTACGAATAGGTCCCCCCAAACCCCTATAGCATAGACAAGAAAAAGGGACTCATCAAGACGCAGCCGCTGTAGCCCAGTAGCTGGTTTTAGTGTGGTGTGGAGAGCTCAGAGAGGGAGCTTTTGACACATGTCCTATGGCCATGCGGTAAGGCTGCCCTACCAGTTGGGACCTCCGAGATGTTAGAAATTTTCCTAATGTGAGCTCTCTGCCAACACAAAAATCTCAATCAAGCAAATCACAACAAGCCAAATTAAAAAATATCCAGGTATAATAGGATTCCTGGTCTCTTGGGTGGCCCCGAGGGGGAACCAGGAAGCCTTGAGGGAGACCCCCAGGTCAGAGGGAGAAAAGAGACCACAAGGGGCCTTTCTGTGGAAGCTGTTTAAATAGACTTTGGGAGTGGTCAAGATTTTGGCAGGCTGTATTGACCCTCCTCTGGGTAGGGGTCAAGGCTTGGCAGGCACAGGGATGGGCCCTCCAATGATAGAGGCCAGAGACTGGGGCTTACAGAGAGGAAGGAAGAAGCAGTTTGCCCCTGGGGACAAGAAAGAAGAAGAAAAGGTTAAGAAGTGAAGTATTGAGCTACTGAAGGGTACATGGATGACACTAGCTGATACTTTCCTAGTCGAGATAAAGGAAACATGTCAGGCACGCTGGGAATCTAAGAAGTACAGAGACAGAGGCAGAAACTGGTAGACCAAACAGAACAAAGGATGGCTCAGAGACAGGGAGAAAAAAACCAACAGAAGACAGGTGGGGAAGTAAGAGATCTAGGGGGTTAGCACACCTCCCTGAAATGACACTTAGCCTCTCCACTCCCTACCTGTAGTAGAGTGAACTTTGACATTTGGATCTTCTGTTATCAGACAACTGCTTTGTAATAATTAGTTCAAGGTTCAGAGAACCTTGCTCTATGTTATAGGAAGCAGGAACTCACAGTATCTGTTTGTTCTTGAGTGACGATGAGGTAGGACTGACCATCTGTTTTCTTCTCTTTACATTATTCCCCATAAGTTTTCCTCTTCTCTGCTGTTCATTTACTCTACCCCCTCTTCATTTGTCCTTCTCTAGTCTTCCAATTGAGAGGCTCTTTAGCCTCTGCTTCCTGTTTCATTTTCTCTTGCCAGTACAAGTTCCTGCCTCGGACTTCTGGGCTTTCACATATCAAGTTAGCCTAGCTGCTCCATCATGGCAAGCCTACAGCGGGTCAGCAAACTACTGGAGGATGTGACCTGCCCCATCTGCATGGAAATTCTACAGGATCCTGTCACCACTGACTGTGGGCACAACTTCTGCCTGCAATGCATCAATCAAGTTGGGAAAACTACAGAAAATCTTCAATGTCCACTCTGCAAACTCCCTGTGAATAAGAATATGTTGAGGCCCAATAACAAGTTGGCTAGTCTTGCAGAGAAATTCCAGGCTATAGATCCTGCTGAGGTCCAATCAGAAGAAGAAGAGCCAAGATGTGGAAAGCACAAGGAAAAGTTCAATTACTTCTGTGAGGAGGATGGAGAGTTCCTCTGCAGGGAGTGTCATGACTCCAAGGACCACAAAACCCACGAAGTTACCTCGATAGATGAGGCTGCCCAGAACTACAAGGTAGGCACCTGCCTCCTTCTCTGTCCCGAGCTCAGCAGAGTAGAACTCCCTGAGGACCTGGGAGCTGCTGCCATTTCCATCTGGTTGGCACCGACTGCTGCACTCTTTTTTTTTAAATCTATTTATTTATTATGTATACAGTATTCTCAGTATTCTGTCTGCATGTATGCGTGCAGGCCAGAAGAGAGCACCGAATCTCATTACAAATGGTTGCTGGGAATTGACCTCAGGACCGTTGGAGGAGCAGGCATTGCTCTTGACCACTGAGCCATCTCTCAAGCCCCGACTGCTGCAGTCTTAACACTTGAATTGGCAGTTTGCAGCTGGGCCCAGTGAGCTCAAGGATCCAGGTTCTGGGAAATACCAATCTGTAATCAAGGCAAGAAGAATAATCAGAATAGTACTTTGGGGGCAGAGGAGATAATTCAGAGACTAAAGGCACTTGCCACCAAGTCTGAGGACTTGAATTTGACCCTCAGGATCACATAATACAAGGAGAAAATTGGTTTGATCCCTGAGAAAGAAGGGGGCCTGCTAATAATGACACCAGTACTCTGGGATATCTTCCCTGCATTTCTAGGGGCAGAACCTGACTGAAGCATCCTCTCCCCCACAGGTGCAGATTGAGACACAGCTCCAGCATTTGGGGCAAAAGGACAAGGAAATCATTAAAGAGAAAAAGGAAGGTGAAGGAGCAATCCAGGTGTTCAGGGTAAGAAATATTCACTGCAAATACATCTGAGGAAGTTGAGCATCTCTGTTGAGATAATGTTGAGCACTCCTTATACACCAGGCTGGATCAAAGTCCTGCTGACAAGATGGGGAGGGGCAGAGCAGAGAGTGTGGTGCCTGAGCCGTGCTCCTGAGCTGTACTGACCTACCTGCCTGGGTGCTGCTCCAGTGAACCAGGAGGGCTTCTGCTCCTCCACCCACAGCAGGCTTTGTAAGGACCATGCACACACACACACACACACACACACACACACACACACACAAGCTCATACACACAGAGACACTCACACACACACACACACACTTGCTCACACACACAGACACACAAACACACACACAGGCACACACACTGGCTCACAAAAGCCTCCTTTTTACTAGAGAGTGATCACACAGTAAGAAAAGACAAGAGACTATGACACCACCAAATGTCTCCACCTGATTTTAATTTTGTTAACTTTTTAAAAAGGTTATTTGCATTACTTTTATTTATGTGTATATGTCTGTGTGAGTGAAAGTCATGTGTGTGCAAATCCTAGCAGAAACCGGAAGAACTGGAAATACAGATATTGTGAGCTGCTCTTCATAAGTGCTGGGAACTGAATTCAGGTCCTCTGAAGAGCAGTAAGCATTCTTAACCCCTTTGTCATCTCTCCAGGTCCATCATGGGAAATTCAGTATGAAGGCAGCTAAACTGAGGAGAGCGCTCTCTCTCTCTCTCTTTCTAACTCGCTATCTCTCTCTCTCTTTCTCACTCACTATCTCTCTCTCTCTCTTTCTCACTCACTATCTCTCTCTCTCTTTCTCACTCACTATCTCTCTCTTTCTCACTCACTATCTCTCTCTCTCTCTTTCTCACTCACTATCTCTCTCTCTCTTTTTCTCACTCACTATCTCTCTCTCTCTCTTTCATTTATTTATGTTCTTCCCCAATGACTTTTAAGAATCTTTTATTTACTTGTTTTTAGGTTTAATTTTATGTGAATGAATGCTTGCCTCCATGTATGTATGTATATCAGGTGCATGTCTGGTACCCATGGAGATCAGAAGAGGGCACTGGATCCCTGGAACTGGAGTTAGGATGGTTGTGAGCAACCATGTGAGTTCTCAGAATTGAATCTGAGTCCTTTGCAAGAGCAACAAAGTCCCTTACTGAGCCATATCTCCAGCTCCTAGACACAGTATCATATGTAGCACAAACTAGAAATTGTTATACAGAAAAAGGATAGCCTTCATCATCTGACCCTTTTGTCTTTCCCCCAGTACTGGAATTACAGGGCTATAACAGCATTCCCAGACTATGCAGTGCTGAGAATGGAATCCAGGACTACATACATGCTAATAATATTAGTGCATGCCTAAGCAAGCATGCTGTCAACTGAACTACAACCTTATCCTGGGTTTTCTATGGCGGTGTCATTTGTTTGTTGAGAGAGTGGCCCAAGTAGTCCAGTCTGGCCTTGAATGGAGACTGGCCTTGGCTTTCTGCATCTCCTGTCTGCACTTCCCAAGTGCTAAGATTTCTTAGTTGTGCGTCTGGCTGATGGCCTTGAAGGTAAAAAATAAAGTAATTGAGCCTAAATCCTTGAACACAGGAAGTGCTTTGATCTCCTTGTCCCTCCCCCTTTCCCACAGGTAAAATTTAGCAATCTGTCCTAAACCGGTCTCAGAATAATCCTTACATACTCCTAAAGAGTGAATGGTTCCAGATTTTGCATACCCTTGATTCCAGCACTTAGGAGGCAGAGACAGGTGGATCTCTATGAATACAAGGCCAACCTGTTGTTCTTAGAGTCAGTTCCTCGCTATCCAGGACTATATAGTGAGACTTTGCCTGTAATTAGTTAATTGATTAATTGGTTGATGGTTGATTGATTTAAAAGTGAATGATGGGCTTAAAGGAAGCTTGGAGAATCCTCTCTCATTCCTTCTTCCTCTCTGCATCCCTTCCCTTACCCCCAGGCCCAGGTACATCTAGAGAGACTAAAGATCCTTGAGGAATTTAAACATGTGCGCCAGAGACTGGAAGAGGAAGAGAGATTCCTCCTGTCCAGGCTGAGCTGGCTGGAGCAGGAGGGAGTCAAGCAGATAGAAGAGTATGTCACTGTCACAGAGGGACAGCTGACCACCCTCAGAAACCTAACAAGGTCCCTGAAAAACAGGCTACAAGCGCCATCCATGGAGCTACTGGAGGTCAGTCCATTAGCAACAGACTCTCTCTCTCTCTCTCTCTCTCTCTTGCTTTCTCTCTCTCTCTGAAAGATACTTAAGAATCTGTATTGTACTGTGGCCTAACAACTTCTAATATCAGACTCCTCCATATCCTTTGTCCCCTGAAATGAAATTTTGAGAAACTCCTATCACTCCCTGAAAGGACATAAAAGTCAGATACTCTTCCTTCTCTGGGGATTTGCCTGAGGCTCCTGTCAGGTTTTAAAGCGATGCCTGTTGCTCCCCAAAAGGGTCCATTTGTATTGTCTCCGACTTACTGTACCATTCCTCTCTAATGCTGTTCTACCCCAAGGCCCAGTGCTCACCACGCCCTTTCTCCTAATAACCCTCATGTATGAGGTGTGGTTCCTTTATTACTTTTTATTGCCTCCTGAACTAGTCCACCAACTGCTGTCCTGTTTCTCCTAACCCAGTAGTTCTCAATCTGTGGGTCTTGATCCCTATGGGGGATCTACCAACCCTTTCATAGGGGCCACCTAAGACCTAGGCAGCCTGGCTGTGTTATGACAAAGGTCATGTGACCAAGGGTACCACTGAATTACTGATCCCCCCATCCCCTTTTATGGACCACTACACCCAGCTCACAGTTTAAAATTGTAATGTGGACACATGTGTTTCTTTAAAGCATCTCGCAGACTCATTGTGCAAAGGAGCTTGCCACCAATCCTAAGACCCACACGGTGGAAGAATGGGGCCAATTCCCACAAGCTTTCCTCTGACTTCCTTTTGTAACTTCAGATCCAGCAAATCTGGTCGCTCTGGCTTTGTAGGGTACCTGCATTCTCATTTACATGCCCACACACAGACACACATATATACACAATTTAAAAACAATAAAAATAAGGCTGAGGGCCGGGCGGTGGTGGTGCACACCTTTAATCCCAGCACTCGGGAGGCAGAGGCAGGCGGATCTCTGTGAGTTCGAGGCCAGCCTGGTCTACAAGAGCTAGTACCGGGACAGGCACCAAAAGCTACAGAGAAACCCTGTCTCGAAAAACCAAAAAATAAAATAAAATAAAATAAAATAAGGCTGGAGTGATGCCTTATTGGTTAAGAGCACTGTCTGCTCTTTCACAGGTCCTGAGTTCAATTCCCAGCAACCACATGGCAGGTCACAACCGTCTATAATGGATCTGATGCCCTCCTCTATCGTGTGGGCATATGAGCACTCATACATAAAAAAATATATTTATAAATAAAAATTTAATATAATAAAATCTTTTCCACATTATTCTTAAAAATTAATAAAACTTAAAAATAAAACCCAATAAAAAGATCTATATTTCAAGATATATTTCTAGTAACTATATTAAAAAGAAAAAAAGAATCACGCATAGTGGTACACCCTTAATCCCAGCACTTAGGTGGGAGAGGTGAATTCAAAGTCTACCTGGCTCACAATTTGAATTCCCGGCCAATCAGGAAAAAAATCAGATAAAAGTAATTTAATAAAAACACGTTAGCAATTTATTTAATCCTATATTCCAAATGTAATTATTTCAACCTCTTTAGACATATTCATGAGCTATTCCATATTTGTAAGAGTTTTTTTTTAGTTCTGAGTCTTTGAACTCTTATTTATTTTTCACATCTCAGTTTAGATTCTAAATCATTAATTGCTTAGGTAAAATGTAGTTAATCCTAGTAAATCAATAAAATTGTACTTACAATGCTTCAATTTTTAAATTTAGATTTAAAATAGTAAAAATTTATTGGTGGGGAGGACTGAGGTGTTAGTGCATTCCTGTCCTCTCAGCGCTCAGGAGTCAGACACAGAAGATTCGGTAGTTCAGGACTGTTCTTGGCTACACAGAGAATTTGAGCCCAGCCTGAGACACATTAAACTGTCTCTGATAAAAACAAACAAACAAACAAACAAACAAAGAGGGAGGAATAATAGGACACCCAAGTGCCAGGACTAACACACCTGGTTTCTGTTTTGTTTTTGTTTTTTCTTTAAAGAAACACGGACAGCCACTCCACCTTTGTCCTAACACTGCCAAGTTGAATTCCCTGGTTCTGTATCAGAGGCAACACCCATCTTCCAAATGTCACTCTTTCTTCTCTCCTCACTCTGTGTCTCCTGAGGTTTAAACACTATCCCAACTATACCAGGAGTTTTAGGGGTAGCAGTTCAGAATGGAATGGGGGGAGAGAAAAGAGAAGGCAGAGACAGACAGACAGACAACAGAGACAGCAGAGACAGAAAGACAGAGAGAGGAAAAAAGAGGGTGGAAAACTGGGGTGTTCTCACTCTGCCTCCAGTTGAGTCTGAACCCCTTCTTGGTGCCTATGACTCAGGCAAGCTCTGACATTGTTCTTTCTTTCTCTTCCAGGGCATAAAGGACATCTTGGGCAGGTATGATGGGCATCCCAAGTGCACTGTGCTTTCTGGTTCACTCACACATACATACAACATATATCCGAATATGTTCACATCCTCCAATAACTCAACTATAAACTCTTTAGGCTGCAGGTGGGGAAGACCAAGCTGGCCACAGTAGCATGTGGTCTGCTGGGCACAGCTCTTTTCACCAACACCCAGCTTTAGAGCAGCTGCACTCCCCTCCCATATTCCTCTTGGTCAAGTGGGTGACCCTGGGTTTCCTACTTTACCTTTCTACTCCCTGTCCCTTCTCTCTTCTCTATCCATCTCCCATCTTCATTTCCATATTTTCAAGGGTCTGATCTGTAGTAGGAAGCTGCTTATTTGTTTTTTCACCTGCCTAGACTTCAGTAATAATCACACAGAAACTATATTATTTAAATCACTTATTGGCCAATCACCGTATTGCTAGCTAGCTCTTATATCTAGTATTAACCCATTTCCAGTATTTTATATTTTGCCATGAAGCTTGTGGCCTACAACCAAGTTTCCAGCATGTCTGTCTCTGGCATCAGCTCCATGGTTTCTTTTTGACTCTGTCCCCTTACTCCCAGTATTCAGCTTAGTTTTCTTTGCCTAGTACTGTCCTGCTCTATCAACAGGCCAAGGCAGTTTCTTTATTCACCAATGGTATTCACAGCATACAGTCAGGGATCCCACATCACCTCCCCTTTTCTGTTTAAATAAAAAGGAAGATTTTAACTTTAACATAGTAAAATTACATATAACAAAACAGGTATCAAGCAAGAATTATAGCTACAATATTTATAGTTACTTTATCTTTTATCATAACTAAAGAAAACTGTATCTATAACTATCTGTTCTTCAACTCCATCAAAGACTCCAGTATATAATATTACCTAAGTAAACAGGAAGTGCGTTGTAAGCAACTCTCAAAACTCTAGAATTGACAGAGACATCTTGCTGTCTTCACAGTCACCCAAAGTTCTTCTGTACCCATGGGGCATTCATCTTCAGCCTATAGGCTGAAGGAGGAAATTTCAAAGGCAGTTTCTCCCATATTGGCAATTTAAAAGTCACTTTCTTCTGTGTCCTGCAGAATGTCTATCAGACTCTTTCATGAAGCAGGAACCCCAAAGGATAGTCTCACTTTTACACAAGTTCAGCAGTAATTTCTCTGTGGACCCTGCATGTCTAGTTCATACAGCAGTCCAGGAAAGAACAGTTTTTGCCCAAACGGTTAAGCAATGCTATAAGGAGCCTCTTCAGTGCCCATCTTCCTCTTGAAGTAATTGGTTCCTCCAGGAGCAGACGTGTCTCATTGTAATGAAATATCTAGATTTTAAAACATTTTAAGTGCCATATTCTGAAGGTCTCTGAAAGATTTGAAGAATAACTATCTAACTGAAATATGAATATTATAGATATTATCTATGAACCTATATTTCTTTATTATACATTAGATTTTTAAATGAGCCACACAAACACAATACCTTAATCTGAACAGAAATATACATATAACAAACAATAAACTAAGATCCATAGCAATGCAAATCTCTATATCATATCCCCTTTTAAATGTAAAAAAAAGTTATAAATAATATTTGGGAATTTTGGCATAGTTCTTTCCAAACTATTTCCTGCATTTTGTTGGGCAAAGTATTTATTGGGGTTTTTATGGAAATCTTTCAGATGGTCCATCAAACCACTTTCATCTGGAAACAATCTACAGGTTCTCATCCTCCGTGGAAACAAAAGAAGGACCTCTTTTCCAAAGTAACAAATCCTTAGACCCAAATTCTGAAGTCAACATATCTTTATGTTGGCTTAATTTAGCAGTCCATATAATGAAATGCGTCTCTGTACTTAGCTCCTTCACAAAAAATTCAAAAAAATACAACAATATACATAATCCAGACTCTATGTGTAGATTCCATCTTTACGTGGCTTAATTTCTTACTATAGTACTTTTTAATATTTATTTTATTATCTTTACTCCTTTAATCTGTGACAGTCTGTACTCTGTCTCTTTAAAGACTTTATTTTATTGCTTTTTATAAATCATTTACTTCCTTTTATAGCTCTCTATTCTCTTTTCCTTTTCTCCCCACACGGACGTACATTTTTTAAACACACTGTGTCTCATTTAGAGATCTTTTATGTCTGAATCTGTCCTTATTGTTTATCTGTAATTCTTTTCTGAACAAGATGACTTCTTAAAATGCTGAGCCCTTATTAAAAACCTAAGTGGCAGCATTGCTAGGACAAACAGGACCCTCCCTGCTTGCTCTGCCCAGTCCAACATGGTGGAAGTTTTTCACTGCCTTTGAGACTGTTGGGTGGGAGCCACCCTCACTACCTCAACCCTGATAACCAGTTGGCCCATGCTGCCACCAAGTACTTGCTGCATACTGCTCACAAACCCCATTTAAATGCTCAGCTTCCTGAAAGAGCCAAGTTTTTGCTGGTAGCATGGTCCAGAAAGCTGCCATTTCAAAACTACACAGCTTTTTTTTTTTTAAATGTTACCTCTGAATTTGGAAGACCTCTCATAAAGGACCTGTGGCATGCCACTAGCAAAATACTGGCTACCAAGAAGCCATGCTTAACTCTGTTCTTTTGTATCTAAAATTACTTTTTAAGCTTGCTCAGGTTTTATGTGATTAAACCGTCATAAGCTTGAACACCAATTTGTTGTATTGAGGCCACTCATTTGTTCCTGGCTGCTCAGACTCCCAAAATAATCACACAGAAAAGCAGTCTTTCTTTCCCAGCTGCACTCCCCTGCTCAAGTGGGTGAACCCTGGGTTTCCTACTCTACCTCCTACTTCCTGTCCATTCTGTCTTCTCTGATCCATCTCCCGTCTCCTTTTCCACATTTTCTTGGGTCTGATCACATTCATCCCTGCATTCCTGTCCTGGACCCCTTGCTGTGGGACAATGGCCTTATATCTTGCAAAGTTTTATCAGTTGTACTAGTTTAATAAAATGCTAATTGGCCAGTAGTCAGGCAGGAAGAATAGGAGGGGCAGCCAGGCAGGAAGTATAGGCAGGGCAACGCGAACAGGAGAATTCCGGGAAGATGTAAGGTGCACTCTGCAGTTGTCACCCAGACAGAGGAAGATGAAAAAGCCTTGCTGATGAAAGGTACCAAGCCATGTGGCTAACACAGACAAGAATTATGGGTTAATGTAAGTTATAAAAGTTAATAAGAAGCCTGAGCTAATAGGCCAACCAGTTTATGATTAATATAGACCTCTGTGTGTTTCTTTGGGACTGAAAGAATGCAGGACCAGGCAGGAGAGAAACCTTTGTCAACACCCCCTGACAAACAGCTCCCTGGCTCTAGACTGTATTTATCACTTTGCCTCCTCACCAGGAACCATCTCCCAGGTCCTTCCTGCCCACACTCTATCCCTGAACTTACACCTCAGATCAACATATCTTCACAGGAGTAAAGAATATGAGTTTCACAACCCAACCCCAGTTCCTATGAACCTGGAGAAAAAAATCAATGAAGTAAAAGCAAGACACGAGTCCATCATAGAAAGCCTGAAGGAATTAACAGGTAAGAGGTGACTGCCACTTCCTTTGCTTACCTGCCTCAGGATTCTTTCCATCAACCTAGATACTGCCTGACACCTCTGGTGCCAGCCCCTGAGCCTTTCAGAACCCAGGCTGAATGCTGAGTACCTTCAAAGAACCATTATGCAGAAATTCCTCATGCTGTGTTGTTTCAGGTTTAGTGCTGAGGATAGAATGCGGGACTTCATGCTTGCTTGACAAGCACTCTGCAATCTGAGCTACATCCCCAGAGTCAAAGCACCTCTGAGCTCAGAAATTTTCCTTGTTTACTTGGTGGTGAACATGGGACTAGAAGTATGTTACCAATTTGGTTGTCACTTATCACCTGTACCCCTGGACACCAAAACACAGCATTCACACATAGTGTACATAAAGAATACACATTGACTCTGAAAGACATAATATTAAAATGGAGCATAAAATATAGAAATGAAAATAAAAGCAAACAGAAATATTGTCCAGGGTAGTCTCTTATGGAAGACTTCAGTGATCTTCTGAGTAGCTGGGTCTCCAGCATCCAGCATTGTGCCCAGGTAACACTGAAACTTTATTGGAATGCTGAAATGGCAGTATGTTTTAACATTCTGAGCTAAAGAAGACATATTATTTAATTCATTTTATTCATTTCCTTTTTAAAAGTTTTATTTATTTTATTTGTATGGGTGTTATATGTGCATGTATTGTCTCTATGCCTGGTGTCCGTGGAGGTCAGAAGAGGGTGCCAGATGCCCTGGGACTGGAGCTTCAATGGATGCTGAGATCTGACTGGATTCCCTGGTGCTGTTAACCACTGAGGCCTCTTTCCAGCTCCCTTTTCCTTTCCTTTTACGACACTGGAACTCACTATGTCCTGTGGACTAAAAGTTGTCATCCTCCTGTGTCAGCTTCCCTAGTGTCAGCATGCCCTGGTCCTTTAGGGTTTCAAAATAGCATCTAGAAAATTCCAAATTCAGTGGCTTATGCTTGTGGCTCCAATACTTCTGTTCTGGACTGGGCTGTACTGGAGAGCCACTTCAGGGAGACCCTAGGGCAGCTCTCCCTGTTTGCTGCCTTCTTGGTCAACTGAGACTGTGAGAGAAATCCCAGTACCACCTCTTCCCACATCAGCAATCTTTGCCTCACTGTGTGGTCCCTGTTGCTTGCTTAACCTCTGTGGATTCTCCATCTCCTTCACTCTCTCCTCATAGAGAACCTGATCACTGAATGGAAGGAAGATAAAAGCACATTCCTGAACAGCCTAGATAAAAAGGACATGGAGAACTGTAAGTGTGTGCATACCCTGCTGTTTGGGGAAAGTGAAGAATATAAAATAGCTTTTCAATAGGAGATTGAGGGTGAAAGATCCAGTGTGTGAACACCAACGAAGAACAAGCTTACAGAATTGTTTTATTATTTTACATTTAGGTAATCATAGTGACACCCCACTAATTAAAAATGTTCAAAATGAATGGAAATTTATAGATTTATTCCTTCATTGCACAAGGCTCAGGTGCAGGCAGCTCAGTCTGTAGCTGGAGCTGACCTAACAGGTCTGGTTAGCCCAGCAGAGCTGAGGAGTTGAGATCCACAGGGACAATACCTGCAGTGGTGTCATCTGATTGGTTCAGCTTTGAGGGTAGTCAGGATAAAAGCCAGGACCAGCTGCTCATCCCCAATATGACTTTTAATTTACAACCACTTGTTATTAACCTAAAATTTGTTTTCTCTCTCAAATCTTAGGGCTCCTGTTACAGAAGAATAACTCAGATTTGCTCAGCTCAGGTAGGATTCCTCCTAGGCACACGGGTCTTCCTTTAGAGAAGCAAGGGTCCTCTAGGTGTACATGTCAAAGTGTTCTGTTCCTTCACAGATCTGATACAGCACAACCCTAGCCCCCAACAGGGAACCCCTAATGTGCAGGTGCACCCTGCTGCTTGGTCTATGCCCCTCCTAGTGCCTCTGGAGCTCAGCAGGACCTAATGCAGTCATCCCTGCTACTCAGCACCAGGGTTACAGGTGTTCCAGGGCCACACCAGTTTTTGTCCTTAGATGCTGGGGATCACAACTCATGTCTTCATGCCTGCACAGCCAAAGTACCTTCCCCAGTCCCTTTTTTTTCTTGCTTGCTTTTGAGACACAGTCTCATGTAGCCCAGACTGTCTTTGAACTCATGGTAGTTCTCCTGTCTGACCTTCCCAAGTGCTGGAATTAGAGGTGTATCCACCACGATGCCTGGCAATGAGTGCCTCTAACAAAACAGAAGACAAGTCCCCATGGTGGTCATTCTCACCCAGTGCTGCTCTTCTCCAATTGCTTTGACTCTGATGCCCCTGGAAGACCATAGAAGTTCCTACCAATGTCTTCCTCTATGTTCATTGTCCCTATCCCTCTGCACCCAGTAATTCAACTTATCCAAGTCTGGGGATCAGAAATGGGTAAAATCTGCTTGGTTCGTGCCCCTAGCCTACCCTAGTGACCCTGACCACTTGCTTTAATGCACAATTCCACATCGGCCATCTCCCCAACCCCACTCACAGCAGAGGAGAACTCACATTGCAGCAAAGGCTGAGATGCAGCACCAAATGAGGGGCTAAAATGTTCCCACTTTCTGAACCTTAGCAGAGCCGGGACCACTGATGCTCTAGCCTTTGAATAAGACAAAGACTCTGTAGCTTTGATAAACTGCCATTCAGTGTCTGAGCCATAATACGAGGGTGGAGGTAGATCAAGGGATCCCATTCTATTCCATTCTATCATGTGTACTCGTGCATACACATACGTGCCTATGTGTGGGAGTCAGAACATGAGTGAGGAAGTCAGTCTCCCACCATGTGGGTTTCTGGACTGAAAACAGGTGTCAGGCTTGGGGGCACAGGCCATGTCAGCTGAGTCACCTCCTGGACCCAGGAACACCATTTTAGAAAGGCAGGCTAGTGGTGACCCCAGCTTTAGAAAATCAGGCAGAATCTTGACCTCTCATAGCAGCCCAAATTGTCTGCCATATGAGAACCAGGAAATGTGGAAATGAGAAGACATATCTTCATTGTTAGAAGATCTAAATTGCCCAGGGTGTTATGACCTTGGTTCAAGAACTCTTCCTGAAATGAATCTACTACCATGTGAACTGGGGGAGCTTCCCTCTGCACCCACAGAACAGAACCTCATAAAATCAGGGGTTAAGTTTGAGGTCTGGGATAGAGAGTAGGGAGAGATAAAGGAGAGAGTGGTGTAGGGAGCATGGGCATGGTATCCCACATCTATAATTCCAGCACTAGGGAGGTGCAGTTTGAAAGATGAGAAGTTCAAGATCATCCTTAGCTAGACAAAAAATTTCAGCCCTACTTGGTCTATATGAGATCCCCTTCTCAGAAAACCAAAAGAAACAGGCAGGAGTCTTCTCTGAGGACATAGACTGGAATTTGAAGGAGAAATTCTCCCTCTAGCTACATCATGAGAAGCTCAAAAGCAGGGTGCTGGAGGACTTGCCCTAAAACTATCCCTCTTCACTCTTCTTTGTCTTCCCACAGTAACTATGACCCTGGACTCCACTTCAGCTGACCCAAACCTCACCTTTTCTGAGGATCTAAAGAAAGCAAGCTTGTATGTCATCGACAGCACATCGAATACGCAGGCAAAACCTCGACAATTTTATCCTTTCCACTGTGTGAGGGGCTCCCCAGGCCTCTCCTCAGGCCGTGCGGTGTGGCGGGTGAAAATACAGGGACCCCCTGGAAAGGTTGGCATAGTGGGCGTGGTTGCCCAATTGCCTCAGGGGTTCCAGATTCAGAACTCTGAGCCATGCTGCTTGTGGGCATTGCGGATCTCATCCTCTGGATGTCAGCCAATCACCAACTGCAGTATCCAGGAGAATCTCTCAATCTGTCTTAGGAAAGTGGGCGTCTATGTGGATTATGACCGTGGAGAGATCGTCTTCTACGATGCCATCACTAACAAAAACATCTACACCTTCCAAACTTCTTTTGACAGACAGATCTTCCCCTTTTTTGGGCTCCTAAATGCCCGCAGCTCTATCATCCTTGAGCCTCTAGGGCTGCACTCCTAAGGATCCCTCAGTCTCTTCCCCACCCATCTCTCATGATTGAATGAGAAGCAATTGGCAGGAATGAAGCTTGGCCCTGCTCAAGCACATTACACATCCCCCACACCCCACACACCCTACACACACTACACACCCCCACACACTCTATACACCCTACACACACTACACACCCCACATACCCAACACACCCTACACACCCTACACACACTACACACCCCACACATCCTATTCACCCTACACACCCCACATACCCTAAACACCCTACACATCCTACACACACTACACACCCCACACACCCTATACACCCTACACACCTTACACACCCTATACACACTACACACCCCACACACCGTACACACACTACACACTCCACAAAACGTATATACTGTATACACCCTACATACACTACATGCCCTACACATACTGCACACCCTACACACCCCACACAATGTACATATATTACACACCCCACAAACCCCACACATGTCACACACCCTACACACCACACACACCCTACACACAATACACACCCCACACACCCTAACAAACTACACATACATCTTTCCGTGAGTAAAGAAGAAAGCGGAATCTCCAAATATTAACCACAAGGCTTTTCATTGCTGAACTTCATAAACGGACACAATTGGAAGTGGCCAAACTTAACTAATTGGAAAATATCTTGCTTGAGACACGAGTCCAAGACGCTGCTCAGCACCCTGCCTGCCCCTTTCTCTACTTCACTACCTGCAGTTCCTATGACTCTGAACTTGAGCACCTGGCTCTTGACCTTTCCTGAAGTCAGAACCAAAGGCTACATGCAGAATCAGCCAGGCCTGTGCCAGTTTGTTGACAGGACAGACTTCAGTCAGGGTTGTAACCTTTTGATAATTCAAAACAATGTTGTCACCCTCAACAACTTTGCCTTCAACTTAAAAACAAAATTGTAAACCACCCTTCATGTTGATTTAAATTTCTAATCTTGTCTTAGGCCACATCCATAGCTATCTTTGATCTCCATTGTCCCTCCAGACTCAGGCAGGTTACTACTGGAATAGACGGATAGTCGACAGGTGGTGTGGAACCACACATAGAGCATACTACATTTCACAATTAAAATTTTAATTTATTTTATATTTCTGTAGTGTGTGTGTGTGTGTGTGTGTGTGTGTGTGTGTGTGCACCCACATGTCATAGTCTCTCTGGAAGGTCAAATGATAACTTTTGAGTGTCAATTCCCCTTTATTCTTTATGGGACCCAGTATGGATCTTAGCTCACAGACTTGGTGCAAGTGTCTTACGGATCAGTCATCTCACTGCCTCCATTTCCCATTCCATAAGAAGACTGTACATAGACATGTTTGCTAGTTTATTCTCCCTAGAGTTCATGTAGCCTATCCTGGCCTTAAACCCTATATGTTGCGGGAACAGGGCAGGACAGAAAAATCAGTCAACAAATGGTGCCCATGTGGACAACTGCATCCACATAAAGCCTAAGAGAGCCAGGGAAGTAATTCTAGACAAAAAAAGAGAATGGAGTTAAGCACAGCTTATTGATAGCAGCACTTTCTCAGTGGGCTCTGTTTGCTAGAGGCCAATGCATCTCATTTAAGAGAGGCTTCTTGACTCAGCTTTAGCTGTAAAACCTTGCAGTTCTTTTAAGAGGCCCTGCCACAAAACACTTAAATGGTGTTGATGAAAAGCTGACTGCATGCTTTTTGGTTTTCAGCCTTAGCAGGAAAAAAGCCATGCCATTTTAAAATGCCAGCTTTCTGAGCTGTCCTGTCAGTGCAAACTCTGACTGTTTCAGTTATGGAGGAGGGTCATCTGTCTATCTGTTGTTTCATTGGTTAATTAATAGAGAAAACTGCTTGGCCTTATAGGTCAGAACATAGGTAAGCAGAGAAGACAGAACAGAATGCTGGGAAGAAGGGAAGTGAGGCAGATGCAATGAAGCTCCAGCCCAAGATGGATGTAGGTTAGAATCTTCCCGGTAAGCCACCACCTCATGGTGCTACACACATTAATAGAAATGGATTAATCAAAATGTGAGAGTTAGCCAGTAAGAGGCTAGATATAATGGGCCAGGCAGTATTTAAATGAATACAGTTTGTGTGTTGTTATTTCTGGGGCTAAGCTAGCCTTGCAGGAGCCAAGCGGGATGAAAAGTCGGCCTGCTTGCCTCTTCACTACATTTCAGGCAGGAGGTCTGACTACAGATCAGTTGAGTGTGGTTTGTGAGTAGACTACTGCAGCTTGTTTGCTGGCAGGGACCTTGAAAGACCATAGAGTTGTGACTATAAACATGGTTACAGCTGGTACCTCTGCCATGAGGTTGGAATCTCAGATAGTTAAGAAGTAGGCTGGAACCAGCTGCCAAAGCCATGGCTTTAACCTTGACCATATCACTTAGCAAATTAAAGACTCATGTGGTCAGAAAAAGAGATATATACAGTAAAGAGAGACTCAAAGATGAAAGAAACATCTAAATGGTTTACAGTGTTTTAAAAATATATGCAGGCTAAAAGTTAAAGTCCTTAAAATAAAAAAAAAGAGATTTGCTGGGTGTGGAGGCACACAGCTTGAATCCCAGCACTTGGGAGACAGAGGCAGGGCAGACCTCTGTGAGTTCAAGGTGTGGTGGCACACAACTTAAATCCAAGTACTTGGAAGGCAGAGGCAGGCAGACCTCTGTGGGTTCAAGGACAACTTGGTCTACAGAGTAAATTTCAGGATAGGCAAACATAAACAGAGAAACCCTGTCTCAAAAAGCCAAAAATTAAAAATTAAAGAGATAGAGGTTAAAATAAAGCCACATAAAGATGAGAAATACATAGAGAGTCTGGATATTGTATGTTATTATGTTCTCTTTGAATTGCTTGAATGCTGAGAAAGGAGCAACAGCTGCTAAATGATATTTGTTTAGAAATGCTGCTGAATTAACCCAAGATAGTTATTTTGAAATTACCTTGACTTTAAAATTGAAGTCAACTCAGTGCCCCATTTTATAATTGGGTTGATTAGCCTTTTATGGTCTAGTTTCTTGAGTTCTTTATATATTTTGGAGATCAGTTGCGGGGTTAGTGAAGATCTTCTCCCAGTAAGTGGGTTGCTTTTTTGTCTTAGTGACAGTGTCCTTTGCTTTACAGAAGCTTCTCAGTCTCAGGAGGTCCCATTTATTCAATGAGGACATTGAGCTTATAATTCATGTTCCTAGAGAAGCTAAATAAGAAGGTGAATCCAAAGACAAACATATAGGCATCCTCCTGAATATTAACCTTCATCAGGCGATGAAAGGAGACAGAGACAGAGACCCACATTGGAGCACCAGACAGAAATCTCAAGGTCCAAATCAGGAGCAGAAGGAGAGGGAGCACGAGCAAGGAACTCAGGACCACGAGGGGTGCACCCACACACTGAGACAATGGGGATGTTCTATCGGGAACTCACCAAGTTCCCGGCTGGCCTGGGTCTGAAAAAGCATGGGATAAAACCGGACTAGCTGAACATAGCGGACAATGAGGACTACTGAGAACTCAAGAACAATGGCAGTGGGTTTTTGATCCTACTGCACGTACTGGCTTTGTGGGAGCCTAGGCAGTTTGGATGCTCACCTTACTAGACCTGGATAGAGGTCCTTGGGCTTCCCACAGGTCAGAGAACCCTGATTGCTCTTTGAGCTGATGAGGGAGAGGGACTTGATTGGGGGAGGGGGAGGGAAATGGGAAGCGGTGGTGGGGAGGAGGCAGAAATCCTTAATAAATAAATAAATTTAAATAAAATAAAATAAAATTGAAGTCAAAAGATATGTTACTTTGGAGAAGAGGTTTTGCTTTTGTTTCCACAGAAAATGAGAGGCTTTGGATTTATTCTGAGTTAAGAAAAATCAGGTATGATTAAGAAAGACCACAAGAGAAATCTCCAGTAAAAACAGATGGCCCAGATGTCTGAGTTCTACATAAAGGACAGATTCAAGATGCTGCCTGAGATGATCAAGCCTCATAGGATACTCTAGTTAGGACTTGATCATAATTCTAAATTTAGTTTATGTTTAGTTTAGTTTAGTTTATGATAAGATTATCAGCACCCCCAACCACTACGAAGTAGCCTGGAAAACTATACCCACATTCCCAAACAATGGACTATGGATAATTTCCTTTGTTTAGAATGTTTGTTACAAATTGTTATGGCTAATGGTCAAGAGAAAAGCTAAAGAAAGGGTATTAGATTAAGAGTTCTTATTGTTTTTTTTTTAAAAAAGAGGGGGAAGTGGTGTGGGGCAACCACACAGGAAACAGAGGCAGGAAATGAGAACAGGAGCATTCTGGAAAACAAGGAAGTCTTAGTCCACAGTCGTGACCCATCCACAGAAGAAACAAGATGTGACTGCCTCACTGAGTAAGGTACCGAGCCACTAACATAGACAAAAATAATGGGATAATATAAGTTGTAGGAAGCCTGAGCTAATGGACCAATCAGTTTATAACTTATGTAGACAGACCTCTTTGTGATTTCTTTGGGACTTAACGATTGTGGTGAGCAGGCAGGACAAAACACCAACAACAATCTGTCAGTTGTGTTTTACAAATATTTCATCTGTCCATGGCTTACAATCTCATTTTAATAGTATCTTCAGCAAAGCAAATTTTAAAATGTTCAACAAATTCCATGGCAAAACTTTTTTAAAAATATATTTTATTTATTTATTAATATTCTGTTTGTGTGTATGCCTTCAGGCCAGAAGAAGGCAGCAGACCTCATTACAGATGGTTGTGAGCCACTATGTGGTTGCTGGGAATTGAACTCAGGACCTTTGGAAGAGCAGGCAATGCCCTTAACCTCTGCGCCATCTCTCTACCCCCCCCCCCCCCATGGTACAACTTTTAAACATATACTTGCTAATTCTTTTTTTTTTCTTTTTTCGAGACAGGGTTTCTCTGTGGTTTTTGGAGCCTGTCCTGGAACTAGCTCTTATAGACCAGGCTGGTCTCGAACTCACAGAGATCTGCCTGCCTCTGCCTCCCAAGTGCTGGGATTAAAGGCATGCACCACCACCGCCCGGCTTTATACTTGCTAATTCTTATGGAAGAATATTTAATCATATTGGCCTATGAATAATTTTTCCTGCAGCATCTATTTTGTGGTTTGTGGGAAGGCAATGTCGACTGCATAGGACACTGTGGGA